TCTTCTTCAGAGCTTGTAATGAAGCACCATAAAGAATTGGAAGTACTTCCGAATTAATTCTACCGGCAAGTAAAAAGTTACATAGTGATGTCAAAGAAGATAAGTGTGAAGGTCTTAGAGATCCTGTGCAAAATGATCTAACAGCACTAAAAACATCAATTTCCCTTACTTGAAGAGGAACCTAATTTTCATTTCCATTTCGTGGAATGTTGAGTTCTAGATGGGTATTCTCAAAGGGATGTTTTGATTTGAGCAACGTAAATGTTTCATTGTCAAAAGTAGTAATTGACTCAGTCGAAGATAAAATTCGTATTGCCGAAGTAATATCACCATCAGAAAGATTGGTGATATTATATACATACATACATATTCCTCCTAATTATTGAAGTGATGGATTCTTTATGTGGGTTTTTGGATGAAGGAAAACAAAACGATGTATATGCGAAACACAGTAACTTTTCCAGAAGTCCAAAGAATTTGATTGAATACAATCGTCTATTGTATTGGCTAAATAATCGGCAACAAATATCCTGTATGATTTAGGTAATCTCTTCAAAAAGCTCACATTCTGTTTCAGGTATGCTAAATGAGCATTCAATTTTTTGAAAGTGAGATTTTCATTAACGTTTGAAGATTCATTGGTATTTTGACAAAAAGGGGTTGAATGTGGTTTTTCCTCATGTGAATGTTAACACCACGCTTCGATTGGAAAATCCGATTACAAAAACTGCACTCCAAGTTTGAATTGGTGTCAGGACATACAATAATTTCATTTCCATCTGATTTTCTTCTGGATAAAAATTTCTTTACTTGTCATTTTTCATGTTGAGAAATGACAAGATTTGAAAATTATATAATTTCACAGAAATAAATGAATTTCACGTGAAAAATTTGGCAAAACGATATACTTTACAGAGATGAACTTCTTGATGATAAATTCAAACAATATTTTCCTCAAATCAATGCATAAAAATGAAATTTTTCATGAGCTTTGAAACTGACACAAAACTGTTTTCATCAATCATCATTATTCTTCCTTTGCCTTGTTAGAAATGATATTTGTTTGGTGGTCATACATTCCTAATTTTTATTAAATTATGAAAACAGTATTTTAAAATAATCCATTTTGGTATTCCCTAATATATGTAATACTGACAGAAAAATCATTAAATTCAATAGTATATGAACACTATGTATACTTCTTTTTCATATATTTTTATTGCCATGGTGATATAAAAAACAAGTATCGTAAAAAAACAAGTTATGAGTTAGGAATTCATCCCCTTGTTTCTTTGGAAGTTTATTACAATACGGCGCAGTCAGAAAACGAAATATTTCAGATCAATTATGATGTCAGCAGTGGAAATATGGGAGACCTGGAAGCCAAACTAGTTATTGGAAGAGAAGACTCGACCATATGATGTCAAAATGGCTTTCATTGGTGACAGACAATTACAAAATTATTAAAATCAACCCATTCAACTTTAAAGATAACCCAAATACATGGATGAAACAATATGGATTCATGGCTGTGCCTAACAAATGGACTACAGATGATCAGAAAATACATAATTTGAGATTCAACTTATCCGGTATTTCTCTTGTCTTGTCTCTTGAGATTCAACTTATCCGGTATTTCTCTTCGTTGGTATGAACAAAAAGTTCCGATCATTTTCATGGGAGGAATGGAAAAATTCTTTCATGGTGACATTTGATGAAGATAACAACGAAATAGGATAAAGCTCTGAATTACAAACTCCGTCTAGAAACAATTCTTGAATATTTTTATTAAAAACAACGGCTGTTATACTCACCAGACAATTCTCTCTCCAAAAATTCGGTTATTTTCCTATTGATATTAGGGCTTCCCTGCAATATAAGGAAACAAATATGCCATAAAGACATGAAATCAAGAATAGAGGTACTTCAACTTCTCAAACATCATACAACACATGAAAGAAACCTGACAGATTTTCAAAATACGAGATATCCAGTAAATAACAAGCAAGAAAATAGGAACGGTCGACATTCTGAACAATGCAATTGCAATCAATGTGATGANTGGGTAAAAAATATGATTTGTGTCTTGTTTTTGTTCAGTTTGAGATTGTGTGATGTAAAATTCCTCCAGAATCTTTAGCTTGGAAAAGATATTTCCCTGTAGGTAGTATTATAAAACCTATTACAAAATTGAAACTAATTGACTAAGGATATCAAATATTACACAAAACTTGTAAATGTGCCAAATAGCAAAATTCAAATATTTACCAAAACCTGACTGTATTCATATCACTAAATGTTCTGAAAATTCATGAGTGAGAAATAACAATTAAACATATTACTACATATCACCCCGGAGGAAACGAAATTGCAGAACGTGCTATAAGAGATCTAAAGTTACCAATGAAATGGTGGTTGGAATAAATGCTTCGTGGCAGCTGTAAGGCATCATAATCAGTCACATTCTGAATTTTTAGGTTGTTCACCATCATATAGCTTGCTGCATCGAATCAGTAGTTTTACAAGCAGATAAAGTATTAGACCTGAATCTACAAATAAAGAAAATACCAAAAACGCCAGAACAACAAATGAAATACAAAGAGAGGGTTCAAAATCAAGCCAATAAAAATATGTGTGATTGATGATTTGTTTATTTTATGGTAATTCATGATCACTTTAATGAAATGAATAAAAACACTTTTGTCTAATTACCATTGGTAGATTTTATTCATACGTCCGGTTTGGGGTTTGACTCCACTATCAAGTATTAAACTGAAATCTGAAGTTTGAAACCTCGGTAATATAGAATTTTCAGGTATGCTGCGAGGACAGGTATATGAAAGTTAGATAGTTGGGCGAACCAAGATGCCAACTTCAAAATTCCACACTGAAAATTCTAGAGATTGTTAAAATTATAAATTCAAGAGAGGAGACCTACTTAAATCGCGTTGCTCGTTTAGGGGTATATATTTCTGGTTTTTAATTGATTTGTTAATTTCCATGACCTTCCAATCTATAATGTACGAAAATCTTCAAGAATCAAAACACAAGATAAATAAAGATAATCTCAAAATCCTACACATATGTGATAAAGGGAAAACAAAAATGAATTTGTTGGAGGCCATGGAAATTAACAAATCAATTAAGTACTAGAAATATATACCCTTAAACGAGCAACTCGATTTATGTAGGTTTCCTCTCTTGAATTTATAAGTTTAACAACCCCTAGAATTTTCAGTGTGGAATTTTAAAGTTGGCATCCTGGTTCGCCCAACTACTTGTCTTTCAGGTAGTTGCAGCATACCTGAAAATTCTATATAACCGAGGTTTCAAACTTCAGTTTTATACTTGATAATGGGGTCAAACCCGAAATCGGTCATATAAATAAAATCTACCAGTGGTAATTAGACAAAAGTGTTTTTATTCATTCCATTAAACCAATAAAAATAAAAAATTGAAACTACCTCAATTGAAATAAGGAGATAACATTCTAGTAAGGTACCAGAAAATTGGAAAAGGGTCCATTCAAGATAACAAGAGTCCATTCCATCAATGGGATAGTAGCATTCGTAAATTTTGAGAATGATTGACGACCAGAATCAGCTCATATTTCCAATATAAGGAAGTTTCATCACAAGAGTGATGACTTTGAAGAGGGGAAAGCTGTGTAGTATATGATCAAAATTTGTGTTAGTTTCCAATAGCAATATTTGAAAAACAAATTGAGAACAAGAAAGTTAATTCTTTGTAATTCAATAAATGGGAACTGTTTCTTTCAAATTGACTATTTCTTCTGGTTTTATTTGAATGAAAATCCTTTTTGGTGTTATTATTTTCTTTTTCTTTTTGAAAAGTCTTCATTTTTTATATTCCATTGGAGAAATAAAAAGCCAAATAGGCATACTGAAATAACAATTGTCAAAGGATGATAAAACAGGTTTTTATAATCAAATTATCATTTTATTAAGAGATAACTGAGTATACTACTTTTCTTCAGTGCACCACAGGGTTCAAAGGTTCTGCTTTAATATTTGCTAAATTCAACCTGTTGTCAATTTCTTCATCTATTTGTCCAATAAGAGCCCTGAAATGTGAGAAAATTTGTCATATACTTTTTCATTTGTATAAACCAAACTACATGAATTGTTCCAGGTTGATTCACAATTATTGACAAACCTAATCATATACTGAAAATATGAGTATTTGTAGCAAAATGAGCCTGAAGGTTTGAGAGAATCTATACTTCAAAATGTTCTTAGAACCGAAATAATTCTGCAATTATGACATTCAACAATGTCACCCTAGAACTTTGCAATTGGTATTCGAATATATTTTCAGCCCCTTCAGGATTCAGTGTAATTGCTGAAAGACGTAAGATTCTTTGTTGAATTTGAGTACCCTTCACACACCAATATTGTAATGATTTTTGTAACATTTGACTGTCACTTAATTATAAACGTAATAAAAAAATATGTTTTTCAGTTCTCTCACTAAAGGCAACTCTCAAAATGGTAAGCTTGTGCCTTATCTTTTAATGTGTGGTTGCTAGCACAGTTATGTGCCCTCAGTATTGTATAAACATTGTAGATTTTTTTCATAGGAATAATTTATCCTTGAACTTCAGACACATTGTCTCTTAACGAATTCGATGAAGCATTCAGTCATTTCTTCTATCAAAATATAAATCACAAGAATCACACTTGAACTCACACATTATCTCCTCTTATTATATGCAACCCGAGCATAACTTGTTCAACGCCAGTTGTAGTAGAATAAACCCTTTCATGTGATTCATCCAAAATTATATTGATGGTTTGATCAAATCCTTTGAGAGTTCCCTAAAAGTTAATGAAAGATCATATGGAGCAGATGATGACCAGTTATTTATAATAATAGATGAACTTTGTTCTTTATTACTCCAGACAACAAAAAGTGTGAAACTATCAACTTCAAGTATAATGAGCTTATAGTGTTCAATCTATGTGTGTGTTTTATCTAGGAACAGTTCTTGTGATGCACTGTTTGGAACCTTTGGTGTAGTAATGAATATTACTAGAGTTCTATTCCAACACCAAACCGTTATTTTTTACATCTCGACACGTGTTTCAATCATCTTAAAGACTATCACTTGGTGATTGAAACACATGTCAAGGTGGATGATGATCACTTGGTAATTGAAACACTTGTCGAGGTGTTAAAAATAACGGTTTGTAGTTGAAATCCAGTAATATTCATAAAAACAGTTATAAAATGAAGTATATTTAAAATTCATAAAAACATGTATAAAATATAACAATCACACAAAATCATAGAGCATATTCTGAATATTACCACAACATTATTATTATTTTTATGAATTGAGCAACACGGTTACATTCTTACACTTTAATAAAGAGTTGACCATCATAGTATACAATAAGACCCTAAACTGATAAGAAAAATCATTCCAAATTTTTTCCAGTTCACCAAGACCTTAAAAATCAATATAGGTTTAAAATGAATGAAATTAGGAAGTACTTACTATGAAGTTTCTCCCATCCGATGTAATTATTGACACAGTATCTAATGAATGATTAAAGAAAACTTTAATGAATCAAATTGTGCAGAAAGTATTTAAAAATATTCTATAATGGTGATTTATCAATGGAGTTATTAGATATCAGAAGAACAACATAAGAAGTAAATACTATTAGGAAGATAATAGACAAATCCATTGAAGTTTCATTTATACAAAAGTACAAAATTTATCAGACTTAAGTATTTGAGTTCATGATAAGTTCAAATTTTCAACTCAGGGTGGATTCATATACCTATCTTAAGACGTAAGCAGTTGGATTTTTGAAGGCAACATTCATGCAAAGCAAAAATATATCGTGAATTTCATTAGTTCGAATTTCCATTGCCTAATATGATATAAATTGATTTGAAATCCCTGGAAGAATCTTTCAGGGATTTCAAATCAATTTATATCAAATCCTTAATTTGAAATCCTTGAAAGAATCTTTCAGGGATTTCAAATTAATTTATATCACATTAGACGATGGAAGTCCGAACTTATGAAATGCACCACGAAACATTGTCAACCACCTTCAAACAAGAAATATATTGTATATACTTACTAGTAATATATATTTGCACTACTTGTTGAGTTTTCAATAATAAGAAATACTGTTCTGATAACCAGCTGAAACTTGTGCAAGCTAAGGATTAACGAGAGGTTATCTTTAAGCGTGCACATTCCAGCACAGAATGGAAAACAAGAATTCTTATGACTTAAGGCGGGTGCATGAATCCACCTCATGCCAAGGAAATCATAATGGATTTCATCCTAGAAACAATATGAGCAATTAATTGCAGTTGTTAACATATTATGGTCCAAAAAGCAGAAATTTATGATGAATCTGTTTGTACATTTTTTTTAATATCTGTATTACAGTTTCAAATGAAAATAAATCAAATAATAGATAACATAATACTATATGGTTTTAAAAGGATACGATTTACAAAAGAATCGAGACCAGAAGCCATTTCAAACAAAAATTAAAATGGATAAAGGTTAATAAGATATAGGTTAATTTTTAGTTTTTGAATAAACAATTAACAAGAATCACACACAGTATTGCCACATTGCCACCCGATAGTACTAGCCCTGAGGTTATTCGTAATAAAATTCAGATAATAGACTATTACTTTGTGCTTTTACCGTATTTCACTTGTTGCCGAATATATCACGAACTGTGAAATATAATGTAAAAATATTCTAACGTTAAGTCAAGCATTCAGTTTTGGTGTACTCAAATTTTGAACAAGAATTTGCAAAATAGCACTAAAATTATTTTTTTTAAATTTGTCGTCAATAGGGTGGCCAACCGTACAACACGAAATGCCCCCTCTTCTGTCAAATGACTGAGGAGGGATTTATTTTCGAATGAAATGTTAAAAATTTTATTGTAACCATAGATTTTATAAAATATGTTAATATGAGGAAATATAATAAATATGGTCCGGACCACATTTTCGAAAATTTAATTTTTTTTTCCTAGTTCAAGTACATCGTAATGTTGCTACTTATTTGAATGATAGAATAAATAAATATGGTTATGTATGTATACGGACGGATGTCGTTCGTTGCTGAGACTTTGTGAGATATGACTTTAGACTTTAGTCCAATGTTGGCAACTGGATGAACGATAAAGTCGTTACACATGAACCAAAATTCCGCCACACTGTTTCATGTTCTGCGACGCTTGTATATCTACGGAAGCCCGGTCACGACATACAATGCTACTGATACACTTGTACAGATATGTAACGTCACTTGTGGAACGTACAGAGATATTACGTCACTTGTGCAACGTACAGAGATGTGTCACATTGGTATGCGTAATTTGAAATATAATGAATGGCTGGTTTTCTATTACTTTTTTTCATCCATGTTAATAGAATAGTAATTAATTTTGAATCAATGATTGTTAGCAATGCGGTGGTTTCGTAACACTCAGCCTGAAATCGTGTTTTTTTGTTCTTCCACCATAATTTATGCATTTGTGTTAGGCAGTTACAAAGAATATTGAAAAAATTGAATCTGAAACGAAAAAATGTTGAGGAATCACCCATAGAGGATGTGGTTTTTGGGGTGTTAGAAGAAATTGAAGATCGTAGTGGAACCTGCCTAGGATACAAATCATTATGGAGGAGGTTAAAACTGGTATATGGTATCCAAGTGAAAAGGAATACTGTTTTGGAAATACTAAGGATAGCTGATCCGGAAGGTGTTGAGGCAAGGTCACGTAAGAGGCTAAAGCGATGTAAATACATAGTTCCAGGACCAAATTTTATATGGCACATGGATGGTTGTGACAAACTAAAGCCATTTGGTTACGCAATCCACGGAGCTATAGATGGATTTTCCAGAAAAATATTGTGGCTACGAGTAGCTTCAAGTAATAACAATCCTAGGATAATAGCGTCATATTACTTAGAAACAATTATACAATTGAAAGTTGTGCCAACATTGCTGAGAACAGACAAAGGAACAGAAAATAGCATAGTTGGATCTTTGCAGAACAATGACAATTTAGCAGGATTCAACAATCATATTGAAGGAAAGAGTACTTCCAACCAAAAAATTGAGTGCTCCCGGTTATAAATGCGATGACAGGGTATAAGTTATTGGATATGTTTATTCAAAGATCTCTAAGACAGCATGAACTAAGATGATAGTGATCAGCTAATTGTGGAAAGTCACATATACTGTTTTGGTTCTATTATTCAGGGTGAACTAGACCTTTTGGTGAAAGAATGGAACACATACCATAAGGAAACAAAAAAATATAGAACTTCCATGTGACAAACCACAAATTATGTATGATATTCCCCAGCTATTTGATACAATTGACTATGGAAAAGATATGGAAGAAACAAATTAATTATTTGGAAGAAACGATCCATTCATTGAAGAACTACTTATTGAAAATATTATTTTCCAGTATCAATCCACCAAGAACATTGAAAGAAGGAACACGTTTATTCTGTGCTCTGTTAGAAACAATAAATTTTTTCTGAAATTCTTTTATTACTCAATTTGAGGATAAGTTTTGTTTCATTTCACAGAAAATATATTGGTTATGTGCTGGGCTGTACCGATTTATTCAAGTACTATCCACATTTTTCATTTCAACTATTATAATTATGAATGTGCTTTCATTGCAGCCACAATAATTTATGAGCTGTATTTTATTGTGATTCGGGGGAGAATGGTTATGAATCTGTCCAATAAAGTACAAACATATACCATGGGCCGTAATGGTGGATCATTCGCTTCTCAACCATAATACCTTGGGTTCAAATCCCAGCAAGGTCACCGGTTCCTTGCGTTGCAATCCACATTAAAAGGTATGCTTGCACAAGTCTCTCAAACACAAAGAAAAAAAGGTATTTTGAACACAGATATATTTAAAACATTATTACAAATGATAATAATAGTGAAAAAAATAAATATCATCTCTGTATCTGTATCTGTAGAGTAGCCAGGGTCACCCAAGGTGATCCTGGCAAGATTACATCCTTTGGTTTCGTCCCATCTCTTTAAGAATTGAGCATGGGGGACACATGACTAGTTCCGCAATTGTCGAAGTCATCAGACCGTAGGTGCCACTGGGTCCTAAAATTCTTAGTCCAGCCGCTTCCTTGGCTGAAGAGACGGCAATGCGATTACCTTTACTCCTGTCGTGCCCTTTAACCCACCTCAGGATAATGTTATTATCTACTGAGGCTTTGGCTAAATCTTGGTGACACTCTAGTACTAGCCCTGAGGTTATACGTTGTCTGTTCAAGGCTAATAGGGCTTGTCTGCTGTCAATGCAGATTGTTATGTTTCTGCCAGAAATTCCTTTCTTGGTTAATTCTTTTGTGGCGATTGAGATACCAGCCAGCCACGCTGGCATTTCTTCCCATTCCCCACTTAATTCTTAGGCTTAGTGATCTGGAGTACACTCCACACCCTGGGCCTTCTTTGGTTTTTGAGCCGTCTGTGTAAATCCGTATTGCATTTGTATCATCTGACTCTATGTTCTGCTTTATTTGTATTTTGTAGGGTTTATTAAACACAAACCTGGGTTCAATTGCATCGCTTGTTGCCTGCAGCAGAGGTTGCGCAGTAAGCGCTTCTCGCCACAGGCCCAGCCTCAATTGACCCATTCCTACTTCGAGGTTTACACCAGCCGTGCGCAATCGTACCATGTCCATCAACGCAACCTCCTTAACGTACAGATCAAGAGGGGTCAGACCCGTGATTAATTCCATTGCCGCGGTTGGTATTGTTCTCATGGCTCCTGTGATGTTTAAACAAGCCATTCGCTGTATTTGGTATAATTTTTGGATGGCCGTTGCTTGTAGAACTTTCGATCCCCATGCAATGGCTCTATACGTTAACATAGGTCTTATTATTGCAGTGTAGATCCAGGTGACCATGCACGTCCCACTGTCCTCCGACATTGCTCATAAGCCACGTATGCCCTTTTTGCTCTACTCTGTAGATGAGAGTTCAATGTTAGCTTCCTGTCGAGGATAGTACCAAGGTATTTTACCTCTTCAGAGAAGTTTAGTTTGTTTTTGAAGATTTCGGGAGGTTTTAAGCTCGTTAAACTTCTTTTTCTAGTGAAAAGGACCATCTCAGTCTTCTTGGAATTGATCGATAGTGAGTGTTCCTTACACCATGTTTCTATCAATTTGAGTCCATCCTGCGCTCTATCGCACAGTGTGTTTACAAATCTGCCGGCCTGCAAGATAACTATGTCATCTGCGTATGCAACTGTGTAGAATCTATTTTCGTTAAGGTGATTAATCAGGGTATCCAGAACTATGTTCCAGAGAAGGGGTGATAAGACCCCTCCCTGTGGACATCCCCTCATGACCAGTCCTTTCACTGTGATGTCTTCTACATTAATACTTATTGCTCTACTAGAGAGCATCTTGAGTATCCATTCTCCTACTACCAGGGGTACATTCCTGGAGTGTAGTTGCTGGGTAATTGTTGTAAAGGTTGTTTTATCAAACGCTCCCTCGATATCTATGAATTTACCAAGGGTGGATTCTTTATTGTCTAATGATCTTTCGATTCTGCCAACCACATGGTGAAGAGCAGAATCAGTAGACCTTCCCGGAGTATATGCATGCTGATTTGGATGAAGTGGGTTGTGAACTAGTACTTCATCTCTTATGTACCGCTCACATAGCCTCTCCATGGTTTTTAAGAAAAACGATGTGAGACTAATTGGTCGGAATGCTTTTGGTAGATCGTAGTCCATCCTACCTGGTTTGGGAATAAATACTACTCTTACTTCTCTCCACTTACTGGGAATATACCTCAGAGCTAGAGAGGCTCTGAATATTCCAACCAGGTGCGGCATAAGAGTGTCCAGTCCCCACTGAAGTAGGGCTGGTCTTATACCGTCAGGTCCTGGTGACTTGAAGGGGGAAAAGCTCGATATAGCCCATCTTATTTTGTCCTCATCAATTATTGTACTAGCGTATTGCCAGTCGTATTGTGAGGGTGTTGTTGGTACATCCGTCCAGTTCGTCGTTGTAGGAAAGACAGAACCTGGGAAGTGAGTTTCCTTAAGAATATCAACACTCTCCTGGAGGTTGGCGGCTTTGTCGCCATTTTTCCTCGTAAGGGTGCCGATACTCTTATAATGGTCATTTGAGAGTGCGTTCTGTAGCCTAGAAGCTAGTAGGAAGTCTTCGACTGCCTCATAACAGGCTCTCCAGGCTTCTCTTTGCTTTCGTCTGCATACTTTTTGAGCTCTCTGAAGTTGGCTTGATATATACTCCAGTCCTCTTCGAGTCTTGTGCGTTTTGCCTTGTTAAAGGTCGTCTTCGCTGTCTTCCTGAGGTGTTCCAATTCAGGGCACCACCATGTGTTGGTTGTGCCATCTGTTTGAACCATCCTCATTGGACAGGATTCCTTGTAGGCAGTGTCTATTTTGTTGTGGATAGATACCGTGTACCTTTCCAGTTCTTCATTGTTACCAGGAGTCAGGACCTCTGTTTCCCGCAGAGCTCTTCTTGAGAGTCGATTGTAGAGAGCTACACCCGTCCTCTTCGGGTCACGAGATTTTACAGTGGTCCTGAGATCCTGGTTCACCGAATAGGTCAGCCAGCGGTGGTCTGACATTGAGATATGGACCAAGACTTGCCAGTCTTGGATTTTGTTTGATATTTTGGCTGTAGTAAGCGTGATATCTATTAATGTTTGGGTACGGGCGTTAATAAATGTCGAC